TTGGGATTCAATATCAAACAATTTTCGCGATGAAATTTTATGGATAACCATTCTTAGTGAAGACTGTTTGTAGGTATTTTTCTTCCATTCTTTTCAACTCTGGAGTGATACACTGTGTTTATTTATTTTTGTGAAAATTTGTGCTATGAAAGGTAAAGACACCTGAAAAGCACTTGAAATATAATCAGGCTAATTTGGTACATTTCCAGACTGTATGTGAAACCGTTAAAAATAGGCATAAAAATAGTAAGTGTGATCAAGTGAAGTGAAAGTACAATAAATAGATGAAGGTTAGAGATAACTATAACTTTCGAATGTGTTCAAGAGACAGAGATAACATTCATTCCACTATGTTATTACGTCTAATCCTGGTGCGCACCAACTTCCAGTCTAAAGATACGCAGTGAAATGGTTGGGCGCGTTAACCATTTGACTTCTCATTTGATAAGTTCCATTAGCAATCCTAATCAACTAATTCCAAATTACACCATCTCTGACGTGGAGGTGATATCCAGCTATCGGTTAAAAGGGCGTGTGTCGTATGTAGCGTATCACTCTGCCCTTCCCTTTGGTGGTGACATGTAGCCACTGAGGGTCAAATATATGGAAAAGACAGTTGTTTTTGACGATATACCTTTACGTTCTATCTCTCATGTTAAGTCATATACTATGGTGACTAGTAGTAGTGTAGTTAGGTAGGTAGTGAATGCTAAGTAAGCAGATTAGTTAAGTTAAGTTAGTTAAGTTAAGCAGATTAAGATGCTGCTACAGGACTGGACCACGTCAACTCCTAACTTAGTGATAGGGAGTGAAGTGATGGAACATGTTGACCACTTCACCTATTTGGGAAGTTGTACAAGCACCAACGGACTGATTGGCGATGAAATCTCAGCACGGATCCGAAAAGCTCGAGCTGCTTTCGCTGACTTACACCATCTCTGGCGTAGGCGTGACATCCGGTTATCAACCAAGGGACGTGTGTACTGCTCAGAAGTTCGCTCCGTCCTTCTCTATGGCTCTGAAACATGGCCAAAACGAGTTGAAGACATGAAAAGGTTGACTGCTTTCGATCATAGATGTCTACGATCTCTTTCTCAAGTTAGGTGGTATAATAAGGCAAGTAATGTTGACGTTAGGCGTAGAGTGTTGGGCAAAGAGGAAAAATCAATCGATGAGGCTATAAAGTTACATAGACTGAGATGGCTGGGTCACGTGCTGCGCATGCCTAACCATCGCCTCCCCCGACGACGGGCATTACTAGCTGATATAGGTGGAGGTTGGAAAAGAGTAAGTGGTGGCCAAACAAAACATGGCATCAATCCATGAAATTCCTTGACAGTTAAACTGAGTTGGTCAGGTAGGGAGATGCAGACTCCCGGGTTGGGGCCCTCGGGATTCTAGGAATCAATGGCTGGAGAAAATAGGTGACATGGCTCAAAATCGTTGTCAATGACAGCGCAGATGTATTCAGCCTCTGTAATCTTTCATATTCCTTGCTAGGATTACCCATTCTGTTTCCCTCTTCTACTTGTCAAACTCTATTGATTCTCTTCACTCATCTTCTTGTCTACCTCTGTGTGGTATTCGAAACGTGGCAACTGCACTTCGGTGCCAAGTTCTACTGTTGAATCCAGACAGACAGACAGATTAGTGTCAACCAGTGGGTTTGTGAAGCTGAATCGATAGAGATGGCTTAGACATGCATGGCATTCGTCGGAAATGGCCTTTCTCGATGGGTAATGTTAGTTAACATATGATTAAGTTAAAATGGGTTAGGCGGGATGGGGGGGGGCAAATAAAAACCTGAAATCTATTCAGAAATTCACTTTAAGCTAGTGACGTAGGAATAAATAGACTGAATGAATGGAGTCTTCGGATGCTCTAAGTCCTCATTTTATCCATATTACTGTTCCTTCCCCATCATATTTCTGCTTGCTGTGGTCCCTTTGAATCTACTTCTCTTCCTTTTCCCTACCTTTCTGTGGTATGTGGAGTGTGGAAACTCGAATTGCTTCACTTTCATACAATGTCCTATGGTGAATCTCGGTTAGTCATATTCGATCATTTTATTGAGAAGTTTTCAAACACTGGTTCTCAACTCCGGTCACCACCACAGGTATGTAGTCAACACCTTTGTATATATATCTCAGAATGATACTTAGAGAATTAATAGATTAAGTCAATTTTGTATCTCCCGCTGGTATCTTTTCTCTTACCTAATCTTGAATCAGCTATGAAATGGTTGTATATGGAAAGCAATAGATCAGCATGTAAAGTACATTTCTAACCACTGAATTCGACGAGGACTCACAACCTTATCAGCTGACATTTATTGTCTACAGAAGGCTGCTAATCTAAACAGAGTTACAGAAACATATTTTCAAGTATTGGATCTGTAGGGATTCTGTGTTTGATTGCATGGAGGATTTCATCATGCGCTGATATCAGTTAGAGAACCGCTGAAAAACCTGGGAGTACTGGACAGCTGTTTTGACCTAGTCTGGGACTTTTCAGCAGTACGCACCCACCGGGGTTCGAACCCAGGACCTTCTGGTTACAAGGCGAGCTCGTAGACCAGAAGGTCCTAGGTTCGAACTCTCTGTGGAGGGTGCGTACTGCTGAAGAGTTTCAAACCAGGCTGACGAAACAGCTGTCCAGTACTCCCAGGTTTTCCAGCGGTTCTCTGACAGAAACATATAGCTGACAACATGCTAATGTTTTAACTTCTTCACATCCAGTAGTCACTTAATCTGGTTCTAAAATAGGATAGATTCACATGTTTATTTATGGTAACACTAGTTCTGCCAATTAGCTAGCCAGTAACCGTAAGATTTCAGCTGATTTGGTTGTTTGAGCTACGTCAAACCGGGTGCATCACTTATCAGCTAAGTCGCAAACACGTGAAACGGCTATCCGATAATTAGATCCCTTCGATCTGCCTAATAAACACTGTTGGGTGGATTGAATAGTATACTGGGCTTTTTTACACAGTGAGTAAGATGTCCATTTTAAGAGTAAATTGAACTAATGGTTACAGCTAACCTTGACATAAGGAAATGTCAATAGATGCTTATATCCAGCACCCTGCTTTTTGTGAATAAATGCATCCATTACAGATCTACTGATGTTTGAAGCTGGACTGGCTAAATAACTACCGAAAAAATTTTCTGCTTTATGATCCACCATGTATTATCTTGATGCTCAGAATTACATAATTAAAGGCGAATCTATTGGTGGGAAGTATGAAGTGGTTAAGTTGAAATAAGACACCACCACAAAGTCCTTTGAGTCATTTATACAAGTGTAGATCGCCCTCTACTGAGGGTTTGAGTTGACAGGAATTAATAACCGGGGGCTTGCAGGCATGTGGATAACATGAATCCGTCCTACTTTTACACTTAATAATACCCGAGTCCATTTTCTCTGCATATCTCTCTCTTTCTTTTCATTCTTCTTACTTATTCCATTTGTGCTTACTTCGCCATTGTGTTGTAATGAATTTTGACAAAGTTCTTGTGACTTTTGATCTCCTTTCTTGTAGAGTCTTCAGTGCGTTATGAGTAGATGGTTTGAGTCTGATAGTGACATAACCAGCCACAGTTTAATAAATATAATATCATTATTAGACATTTCACTCATACTTCTTTAACTGTCGTTTCCTTTCTCATACCTATTTCCAGTTTGATCGCAAAATGACTTCTGTTGCACAACCGCTGGATTTTTCGTTGATATGCCCCATGACTCCAAAACAAACGTGAAACAGCTATCAAGTACTTGACTTGTTGGCTTTTAGTAGCCCTCTAACTGAAGTCACTTCGTGGGCATACTTCAATTCAATTAAATCCATGTAAACCAACACTTGAAAACTCCTGTTTCCGCCTATTTTATGCTTGAAGTCATTTTGTAAATCCTGCTGATGAACTCTTTTGGACCGAAGTGTTCGTCCTCTGTTGACATGTCAGTGGATTACACAGACGCTCCAATAATCTGTGAAGTTTAACTGATACCTCCTGCAGAGGATGTGGCTCCCATGGAGCAAGTGGCCTAGTGAATGACACTTTGGCGGCTGGGACTATGGGTGCTAGATTTAAGTCTCATGAGGAATGTTTTCACTCAGTGTGGATGTACATACAGCTGACTGACAAATCTAAGAGAGGAGGAAATATGCTTCTTGAAATCTATCTATTTCCAAGTACCATCGAGCAAACAATGTTTCCACTTTTGCTAATTGGATATGTGTATCATCACTAAATCAAGTGTAAACAAACTGAAGGATAGAAATGTCATTTATCAATGTTTATACTTGTTGTAGACACCAATCACTATCACGGGGTGGAGATATCTATGGAAAGTCACACCATTCTTTCATTTATCTAGGCGGGAGAGTTTCAACTACAAATGACGCAGATTATGGTATCAAAGCCATGCGGATTTGAAAAAGTGAATCAGGTCTTCAATAATCTACAATCAATGTGGAAATATGTAGCACTCAACATCAAGTAAAAGATTCGAATCTTCATCACCACTCTCAAGTCAACGATTCTATATGGCTCAGAGATTTGAAGCTCACGCCACATCAAGAATTCCCTACAGGCTTCAGATCACCATCATTAACAGTTGTGTTTGCTATATACTGGAGATCAGATGACCTGTCCATTCGGGAACGAACGGACCAAGAACCTGTGACCCTACATGTATGCAGAAGGGAATGGAGATGGGTAGGACATTTGCTGAGGAGACCGCTGAGTGACGTCACGCATCAGGCATATACTCGAGTGCAGCCAAAAAGGGAACTGCGAGTTGAGCATGGGTCAGTAGATGACATAGGGGAGTTCGTGTGAGAAGAAGATGAAAGCTTGAGGGCTATGATAGAACAAGAACAGAATCAAACAGAGGTGTGCTTCTGAAGCCGAATGTTGCGCTCCGGACCCACGGGGGTAGTAATAATAATAATAATCATAATGGTACTTGTTGTAATGATGATAACTATTAAAACTTACATATTTAGAAGACATTTTTAATTCAATAATAGAAATTGCCCCACGAATGGATTTTTGAATAACATCCATTTCTTTTCTATCCCATAGACCAGCAATTAATTGTGTCTCTTCATAACGTTGTTCACTGCATGTTCGTTTTGAAGTTTTATTTGAACTTGATGAACTGCTTTCAGCCCGTGTCCGCCGTGATCGATAATCAGCTGGTTTTCTTATTGGAGAATGACACCGACTGTGTAATATATCAGAAATGAGTAGATTGTCCAACCATGCATCAGCTATATACAATTCTTTTAGATAGTCTGGTATCCGATAGAACTTTTGGAGGGGAAAAAAGACAAAAAAAAGCGAAATTTGAGATCAACATAATGTTAAAAGCAGGTGAAAATGTCAGAAAATGATTACTGAGAAGTTAAACTATGACAGGTTTTTTTGTATTTCCCAATGAATGGTACGGGTTCACCAATCTCCCCAATAGTCGCTGACCTTTTCAAGAATAAACTCGAAAATAACATCTTTACAAGCATACTCATGCTTTAAATAAGGTTAAGATATGCAGATGATACATTTCTATTGCTAAAACGAGATCTACACAGTTCATTCTTGAAGAAAATAAACAATCTATTTTTAATTTTTTTGATCACAGCTTGATTCCACACCGTATTTTTGGTACAAGTATGGAATTTTCAGCGTGGATATCGGTGGCCCAAAATTCGCAGGCCGACCATAGATATCAGGTGTGCGTCGGCGAGGGCTCAAACCCCGGACCATGTGCATGGTCGGCGAGAGTCGTAACCACTGTGCCACCGACGCAGGATCCTAGGATCCAGTTTACTTCGGAAGCAGAATCAGACGTCGGTGAACTACCATTTCTAGTCTGCCTGGCTGGTAGAGAGGAGGGAAAATGGACATTTTAGCATATCTATATTCAGGAAGAAAACCTACTCCAACAAATATTTAAACTTCGGGTCATCACACCCCACCAACGCTAAGGTACCAGTTGTTTCGAGTCTTCTTAGACGAATACACTCTTTGTTAACGAATGAGAAATAAAAAGAAGAAGAAATGAACACCGTAGAGTCGCTACTGTTCGACAGACGAGAAATCCAGCTGTGAACTAGAAAAGCTTGGAAAGTAATCAGCCATAGCTAGAATACATGCTAAAATATAGAATCAGGTCACAAAACTGATTTTGACAATATTGATTTAATCTAGAAAAAGCATTTCAGAAACCACAAAGAACGTCTTATTTCTTCAGAAGCACTTCATCTCAAGTGGAATCCAAATTGTCTGAATAGGAATGATGGACTTAAACGGAATTCAACCTGATTCCAGTATCCTCCTCCCCCATGATATGACAAAATCAACGCGGATGTGATAAGTAATTTCATTATGTAAACACATGCTGCTTTTATAGTTTTATTAACTTATCAAATCAAACAATCTACACCTGGTTGTGTTATCTTTACCAGTTGGCTAACTTAAAAACGGAAAAATGACCCTATGCTGACGAACGACGATTAAGTTGTGTTGTTATACATATAAGCTGAGTGGATTTTGCAAATTCTGGTTTAATACTTCTACTTTGATAAAGCTATTAGCAGCAGGATTGGTGAATAACGAAACGTGAGTAAGCACAACAGTAATATCGTTTAGTTTTTCATTCATTGAGAAATAAAAAAACCTTTTCATGATATTAGATGGTTGGAGGCAATCGGTCACAGGAAACCCTCGACCACCTAGGTTTTGTGCCAGTTGGCACTCATCAGCAAGGCGTATCTGCAATCTTGAAGGAACTCATGACCCTTGTGAGATTCGAACCCACGTCACCCAGTGCTGCAGTCAGAGACGTTACCACTGAGCTATTCGGTCTCACGATTGACTTCCTGTAGGACTGTAGTGGGTATTTCGATTGGACACTAGTAGCTGGTGTCCATATATATATATATATATATATATATATATATATATATAGGTTCCGTGATTAGTCGACTCTTGTCTAGGACGAGAGACACTCTCGTCCTAGAAAAAACAGTGCTGCATTTACAGCTCTTCAAATTTCGGGTGATCATCTGTAGAAATAGGTAAAAAAAACATTAAGAGATATCCTATAACTGTCGATATCATATGAAATAACTTAATGATTGATCTTTTTATAGAGGGGAGGATAGGAGAACAGGAAATGAATGATTAAAAAGGGAGGGAGTAGCAAAGAAAGCAGAAATTGAATGCACTCAACAACTTAATGAGCAAAGGAGTAAAGAAGGGGTACTAAAAAAAGAGGAGATGACAATCACTTTTACGACACACACTGGCAACTGAAACAGAACACTCTGCAGGTTAAACAGGCATAAAACAATACTACCCAGAAAGGAATCACTGTGAATGACAGTGAATGAAATCCAGTTACCCGAAAATTATGAAACAGTAAAAACACTGGACTTATCATTGCAAAAGACTCCTGAAACAATCGGAAATACAATATAAATCGACATAGAGAATTAATTACAAGTGAACACTAACCCCCATCCCCCCAGAATAAAGCAGTGGACTTGAAGACTATAAGGTTATTGAAAGCCGAGAAAGCAGAGGAACCAGATAAAATGTCTTTCCCAGAACCACTAAAAACGGACCCAAAATATCAGTAGATATGCTCATGCCACTACTGCAGGAGCTGTTGAAGAACAGAAAGAGGCAAAGTTTAAAGTATAGCGATTCAACCAGGGCGAATGCACGAGTGACCTTGCAGTGACTACTAGTCAGAATAGTCACCAGTGTTTCTAACATGAAAATGACGTTTTTTTACTAGAAAAATACAAATAACAATTAAGAACACCCTAAAATTTCTTATTCGCACTGGATAGCATGAATTGACAGAAATTGAATTTCAAGGGTCACTGAATTTCAGGACTGATCACTGTCACTATCAACCACGATCACATTCCTGATTGCGGAAGACTAGATTATGCGAAAGACTGTACCCAGGGAGGGAGACGACAAAATGACGTTTGACCAATAAGTAGACTCTAGAAGATATGGATTTCACGCATGGGGATGAATTATGTTTATTGTCACACAAACTCGAAGGCTTGCAAGCGAAAAGTGACAAACTAGCTGAAGTGCTGGCAACCCCCGAAGACAGAACTCATGGTGAACTTAAAGAAGACGGAGGTTATGGAGATAATTAATCAGTCGACAGCAAGAACAACAACAAAAAACAAGCAGCACCAGTTATCACCAACAGGAGAGATTTAACAGTGGTCACTTCCTTTACTTATCTGGCCACAAAGCACAGTTTCAACCACAGGCGAACAGCCAGCTAGCCAGAATTGGAAAGGCGAAATACGCCTTCATCAAACTGAAACCAATTTGGAAATCTTCTGCTTCACTCAGCCAGTCAGCATGAAGAACAAGCTAGATTTGGATTCCATTCAACACAAATTTCATTGGAGTGGGTCAATCAGTTCTTCTATGCGGATCAGCAACTTGCACGGCGTGTATTAACAGCATTTCCAACAGCTTGTTGCAGAATTTTATAAACAGCCACTACCTTCGCTGGTTGGCTGGATCCATACTGAAGATCAAACGTCCAGTCAGCCGGACGGCTAGAGAGAGAATTAGCAAGAGGGAACTCTGGCTAGAGACAAACCAACAGGCGAGAGCCGATCGCTCAACAAATATGTAGGAGAAAATGGACATGAGTCGGACACGTAGGCTGAGGAGACCACTGAGTGATATCACGCTCAGTGCAGTTCATTGCTCAAGGGGAACGTGAATGGGAAATAACTAGCTGGGCGTGCATCTAAGAGTGATAAGTAGATCGTGTGCGGACGAGATGAAAGGTTATGACCAGTCGTGAGACCAGCGAAAGGGTCCGCAGAGAATAGGATAAAGTAAAGGAGTGCTGACAGAGCCCACCGGGAACCCAAGGGAATGATATTAAAATTGAAGGACCATTGAATTTCAATCTGTCGGTTGAATCACTGGTCAACAAGCTCACCCAGCAACCTGAAAGTACTAAGTTCGACCCCTGATAGACTTGTGTATTAGCCCTGCTGAAAGGGACTCAAACTTTAGTGATGCAGATTTTAAGTGCTCCTTGATATTTAATGGTTTTATATTTTTATTATGAGTTCATGACGAAACCCTAAAACCCAACACTTTAAAATTTATCTAAAATCAATTCCAGTTGAAGTCTCAAGTGTCATGATGGCAATTGATTTACACCAAAAGTAGATTGCACAACTGAGTTATAAAGATACAAGAGGCAATCAGACTAGAAAGCGTGAGGCAGAGAGAGAGGGGGAGACAAGATGGCCAACACAACAGGTATGATACTAACAATGGCCTTGAAATTCACTTCAGACCTTTTTCTGATTGGATTAGTTAACCAATGACCTTCACATCACATATCAATAAATCAAGTCTTAATTATTCTTTCAACAGAATATAAAATTCCTGAATTCATTAAAATATTTTTTTTAAATACCAACACAATTAAAATACTAGAAATATGAGATAAATTAACATGAATTGTCGTTTCTTCTTCTTTTTATTTTTTAAATCTACAACAGTATTGATTAAATTTTGAGATATATACATATAATATCTATGACTTTTACGTTTATGTTAATTATTCACAAAAATAGTATGGTATACAAGTGAAGTAGTAGTTATATTTTGAATGAAATATCAACTATAAAATGATGAGTAAATATAATATTGTGAAAGTTCAGACAAGTGAGTATGTCACTGGCCAAAATGAATTGTTTTGTTTTGTCTTCCACACTTGAATAACTTACTATGAATGGTGAAATAAATTCGCTGACCAGTCATTGAAGGCAGACTTGTCTAAACCTTCCGAATACTGTTGAGAAACTATGGATCAGCTTCGAAAATGGCACGTTAACTTGCAGACTCGTACGTCACAGAAGTTCACTTTTTAACATCAATTATTAGATTTATATCATGAACCAATATCGCCAAGACCAAGGGAGCAATGGACAGTAGTTTCGTCCTGGTTTGAGACCCCTCATCAGCCCCCATCCACTAACTATCTAGGGACTTAACCCGGAACATTCTGATTCAAGCGGATTGACCATTAACCTACATGGGGTGGAATTCAATGACCCCTGGAATCTAAATTTGTCATTTTCAAGATATTGCAGTGTGTTTCGCAATGCATTCGATAAGCAAAGACTTTTGACACTGTGGACCTCACTAGTCACGACTTTAAAACTTCAGATTCTAGAAATTCATCCAGTAGCCATCAATGCGTTGGTGACTGGTATTCCAATTATGAGATTTGTGGGTATTTG